ATAATTATATATATATAAAATTCTTATTTTTTATTCTGCTTATCATTTTGAAATATTAGCAAAGTGTGTTATTAGAATATAATTAACAAAGAGAGACGATTGCAAACTAAAATTCCAAAAGTTCTTACATTTGCTTTTTAAATCCGTATGTTCGAAAATTTAAACTCTCGAAGACTAGAATGTCACTGATTAGGGAGCTCAATGTTGAGGTGGTAAATCAAAACTACGATTATTATAATTCTGTGAGAACCTTAACTTTGTTTTATTATATTCTTTCTTTCGTCTTTACATTATAAGTAAGAGATCTTGATCTTTATAAATAATCGTTATATATAACTTACACATAATAACGCGAAAGAATTATTTTTTTTAAAGAAAGTTAAGAGAAAAGTGAGATACATAAATCGATGATTCCGGCTTTTATTAAAACGTTGACTTGAAGATGATGTGTTCTTGATGACACGCTGACGCGTATCAATTCAATCGCATAGTTTGCAGGGCATGGTTTCTGGAGCTTGATCGAGCAAATTGCATTATCTCTCGTTTTTTATGCTGAAAAATAAAAATTAATAATATAATTACATGGATATTTCCCGATATATTTTTTTTTTTCTTACATAAAAACCGTTTAATAAAAGTCGATATCTTATAATATTATAAAATAAAAAGCTTTCTTTTCAATGAAAAGTGAGGATGAAGCGTCAGTGTCGCGGAATGTCCGAAAGTTTGTTACGGCGTGTTATCGATACAGATTTTGTCTTATTTTCGCGAACGTAAAATAAAAACGATCGTCGTATAACTGTACCGTTGCTGCGTGTTCCCCAATTATTTGCGCTTCAATGGCTGCGGTGTGCACGCACAGGCGAGAAGACTAAAATTTTCACGCGTCAGCGAAACACGAACGTATTTTTTTTTCCCCCGTATATCACGGAATTCGATAGCCACCTAAAAAACATGTAATTTTGATAACATATTTTTCTCTCATTTTTATCGTGCCTTTCGAGAAATATGAGAGTACAATTTTTATCGCTTGCGAAAAGACTCATAATTAACTGGGGAAATAATTATTTTTTATTTAGTTATATTTCGCGCGTACTGTTTTATATCTTAAAAAAAAAAAAAAATTCTATTCTGTGATATAATCAAACGGAATAGTAGTAATATTTTTTCACATCTGCATTAATTGCTTTCGAAATGTTGCGCTTTCAGGCAAATAAGAATTTTGTTGCAATGTTCTTTCCACGACGAGATTATCTCGATCTCCCTTTGACGATCCCGCTTCCGCTACACATACGCGATACACATTGATAGTGTTTATACGAGCGTATTTCGTGTAAACGTGCGCGTGTGTATGTGTGTATGGTTAATGGTTGTAAAAAATGTTATTCACATGAGAGGCTGGCAACTCGCGCTCTGTGTACCATACGTACCAGTAAGTCGTGTGTACCTTAGGTAGGGCTGAGAGAGAAGTCGCAGGGAGCACCGTGAAACACACGGGACTTGTATTCAGTCCAACTCGATCCTCGAACTGGTCCCGTGTGCGTGGCGTGCAGCGTGTGACCGCCGGCGTCAGTCACAGCATCCGCGTGATACTTGACATTTCGCGCTTCGCGTTACGCTTCCTTGCGACAATACCGCGAGATAAGCTTCTCGGACATCGTCAAATTATTACAATAGTATAAGTCGCATTTTTCTGTGTCGAAAAGCAGGCTCCGAAAGTAAACGACTGAGCTGCGTTTTATCGTATCTTTCTTGATTATTCTCTCTGTGAGGAAAATAATCTAAATTTTAGTCACGTTAAAATATCTTCGTAGAAAATTAAAGAAATCTTTCAATCATATACGTTTATTTTGAAAATAGATTTGAGTTAAATATGTCAATGCAGCTTCATATATATTTCATCCTCATAATTTTAGAATCAGTAAAATTCGAGACGAAAATATTTCGTGGAAATTTTAACGAATAAAGAATTATTTTATTTTGGATTTGTCTTTAAATACTGAGATATAGAAAAATTATGAAAATAAAAAAAAAAAACGTTTTATTGTTATTATCTACTCAGTCGTTTCTTATAGCGTTGTTTGTTTCATCTAACGATTTACATGAAGTAAGTAGGCACGCGAGGCAAATAATGATTTAAAGAAAAGGAAAAGGCCGAAAGGATTTGGCTTCGTTTCTTCCGGAGCTAACTCGAATTGATAAAGAGCACGGCGGGAGGGTTAAAGGATCGTTGATACGAGATCGAAGCGTGATAGTGCGCGAGACAACAGATCCATCAGCGAAAATGAACGGTTTGACGGTTTGTTTGGTACTTCTCTCGACGATGCCGGGTGAGTCTGTAAGATAAAAAGAAATTATAGATTCCTATTATAATTTAAAAAATCCTCAAAATTCTTGCGCTTTCTAATTACGCGCTATATTTGCGGCCTCGTCAAAATTATTGTAGATCGCGACAATCTGTGATATTTCGAGTGACCATTAAACTTTAGTCCTGCTAGAATTTTAATTCTATTAGTTAGAACAAAATTGGACTAGGATGCGCAAAGATTCTAATCGTATAAAACAAATAATAATTAATAAAAACAACAATCGCAATCTTTAATTCTATATTTAATAAGAATTAGTTTCTGTGATTGAACTCTTTTTACCGAACTGTAAAATGACACTCGAAATATTAAAGACATTATTTCGCGCGCGAGATTAAATTTTCGCAGCTGACGCTTATTTGGTTGATATCAATCATGTTATCTAAAGAGTGATGTAGACAGTGCTATTTCCAATTAAACGCTCATCAGTTAAACTGCCGAAATAAATGAAGAAATAGATGAAACAAATAATTTAAAAAATTAATGAATAAAAAAACAGATTTTAAGAGTCAGGGATAAAAAAGTAGGAAGTTTTGATCGAAAATTTAATATAATTTGTGCTTTAACACATTGTTCGTACTTTCTTTGATCGATGAAAATGTTTGCTGAAATTACTCGTGCAAAATGTTTTGAAAATTATGTATAAATTTATAATATTCGAGAGTGAAAAAAGCAACTTAAGTACTTTAATATAATACATGCGAAGAGTTTCACGAGCGAATATGTATACGTTTTACGTTGAAACCTTTTGCCGGCAAAGGTCTCGTGTAAAAATTAAACCATGGAAATAAGAACAAAAACACTGGATGAGTTGTTAAATATGCTCTTGCGTCGTATTCAGTTTGTGTTCATAAATTTGTGAAATTCTGTTTTTTTTTTGTCCTATATTGTCTAACTGTACAATGCAGAGTACGGATTATTATACTGCCGACTCTAATATCTCAACAACAAACTACGAATATAACCAGTGAGCATTATACGGAGTGCCTTGCAACAGCAGTTTTTCCATTTATGAATTCTTCGATCAATTTTACGACTTGACGAGAATCTTGAGTACTCTAATATTTTCTCTATTCGATTAAGTGACCTGATTTAGATTTCGGTTAAAATATTAAATTCTACTCGTGTCAAGTCAAATATAAAATAAGATTCTGTTATCGATTTGCTCGCTCGTGGTGCTTTAATTTTGAAAAATCCTTATATTTTTGCATATTTTCTCATAGCTTAGAAGCCGTTGCAAATTTCCTCGTGATTGATCGAGGAATCTACAGATTTTTCGTCCCCGATTTTTCGTATTATCGTTAGTGTGTCGATGCATGAGAGGATATAAAGCGAGGGTCCGACAGTTTTTTACGATGATTTCTGTGCGAAGCACAGCTGCGAGCCAGAAGCCGCGGAATCCGATGTCTTCGGAAGACATAATCCGATTTCTTTCGGCGTCGAAAGAGATATCGTCGTCTCGAGACGAAGGCCTTTTCTCGCTTTCCTCCTCTCGTCGCGTCGCTTGCGCGTTCGTTTGCTTTCTTTTGTGTTTTCTCGCCGTTCTAGCGGTTTCGACCCGGGGCTAAATATAGAGAGGCGTCGCAAGGGTCCCTCCCTGACGCTGACGGGTTAGAAGTAACTTGTCGCTATTAGCGGACGAGGGTCGAAAATGCGTCGGTGAGAAGATTGCGGGATAAACTTAACGCAAAGCTCTCAACCGCGATCCGATACGGAATTGGGACGCGGTGGATTTATCAAATTTTCTCCGCGTCGCGGCTTTTTCCGGGAAATATTTCGCGCGAGAAAATAGGATTTGGTTATTTCAGAATTACGAGATAAAGCGCGGCAATCTATTTTGGAAAATAATAAGAACTGCGATTTTATTCTTTATTTCGTTTTATTTTCCATAAATACTTTCTTAATAAAAATGAGTAAATTTTATTCTTCACATAAACGTTAGATTTTATATGCGACGATAAGTCATTTATTTAGCGCAAAATTTGGACAAAATATCGTTTTATTTTCCATAAATACTTTCTTAATGAAAATGAGTAAACTTTATTCTTCACATAAACGTTAGATTTTATATGTGATGATAAGTCATTTATTTAGCGTAAAATTTGGACAAAGTACAATATATACACACACACACACACACAAATATTCAACGCGGTATTTATATTGTAATACATATGTTAAATATATTTTTTAAAGCAATAACAAATCGGTTGGTATGCGGCCTTGGTGCTTACAGCGTATAGCATACTAATGTTTACATCCTAATTGTTGTCACTCGAAAGTATTTGGCCTTCCCTGCGTACAATACAATGTTGATATTCGCGCTCATCCTGCTGTCAGTCGTGCGGCAAAACTCGCATGAGAAGGTTGAGGCTCCGTATATCGGATTATATCTCGAGAAATTTTACTTTTATTATAATTAGCTATTAACTCGTAAGTGTGTCAAAACAATCGTAATTTCTGAAACGAAAATTATGACAAAATCGCAATTTACGAGAGCTCTTAATTCGTTAAACTCTGATTATTACCGCGATATATCTCCGCGTTCTTTGTCATTTATTACGATTCTACCAATTATTCAGCTATTCTTTTCTCTCAAATTATGATACAACGTTCCACTCCCAACTTGGGAAACCGAAACATTTTCTTTTTTTTTTTTTATGAATTTTTCCATTACTTTTTCAATAATTTGATGATGATAGATAGGCAGTCGAGAATGAAAAGATGCGTTACGCGATAAATTCTCGTCGATTGTGAGAATCTTCATTTTCCCGGGCATTTCGCCTCGAAATCAGCATCGGCGTTTCTGTCCGGTTTCAACTGAATTCGCTTTCTCACGGTACATTGATTCCTTCAATTCGCTCTGCTACGGGCGGACTCTATTTCCCAAATTCCGCTTCGTTGTTCTCTCATTGTCATAGCAATTTCTCTTCTATGTCCGGCTTCAAATATACGAATTCACAAGTTCAAAGCAACGTATCGTCGTGCTTTGTCCTTAAAGACCGTCGAAATAATATAGCGGAAAAGATCAAAGCCCGTATCACACTACATTAAAAATTGATAATTAAATATTGGAATTTGACTAATCACAGCAAAAGAAACTAAAATTTTTTTGTTTTGATTGGTCAAATTTCAATCTTTAATCTAATCGTAGTGTGATATGGGTTTTACGTGCTCTTCTTTGTGATTCTATTCGACGAATAGTTTTTCTTAAACACGCTCTTTTATTCGCGATCATCCGAGATTCAACGCGAAAGTGTAATGATAATCATCTCATGATACGCGACGCAGGAAATGGAAGTCGTCATTATTAATGCAAAACGAACGATAACAAAAAAAAATTCGACTTAACAATTCGATATATTATTAATAAAAAAAAATATATTATATATAAACCGTCTTTATTCCTAAAAAAGATCAGTAATGCATAAAAAATCTAAAGCAAAATTCAAGCAAGAATTCTCTGTAAGAACATAGGAACGAATTGAGAGGAACGTATCGTTATCGTTGTTTAGGATCGTTATGTCGATTCGTAAATAATAATTGCTTCGCTATTTTGCCTTGGTATTTTTTTTCTTATCAAAAGCGAAAGCACACCGAGTATCTTGCGCGAGAAATTGGCGTATGATTATCGATGATTATATTTTCTCGATCGCGACTCGAGCGAGTTGTAGCGTTACGCTACCCGTTGTTTAACCCGTTATTTTTCATCGGAATCGAGTTACGAATTAATGGAACACATGCGCGCAAGCCAAAATGTTTGCGGTGCGATCGCCTGGATAAAAACCGATGTGTCTCGTTGAGCTAACGGCGACGGCGGCAGCAATTTGCGCGTATACACCGTATAACGTACACATCCGCAAAACTGATCCATTCGGCACATCCGGAATTTTTCACCAATTTTTCGATTCCGGCCTATTTTTCTGTATTTATTTATTTTTTATTTATTTTTTTCTTCTCCCCTCGCGCGATCCCGCATCCATTACCTATGCTAATAAGTTTTGTAACTCGGTACGCGCGCTCGACGCGGTGCGTACCGTGCCCCTTGTTTGCTTTAGCGAAACGTACGGGCGATAAATCGCGTTGAAACTGGCGCGTAATTGCACGCGTGTCCGCAGTTCGTCTCTCGGTAAGTACGTATCCCCCTGGAAATTCGATCTCGCGATCTACGATTAAATTCGACCTCGGGGCGACGAACGACGGTGTATAATCAGGTTCTTAAAGAGAGTCTCGCCATTTTACAAGCGTAACACAATACTTTTTTGGGGATGAAATAATTAAAAGTAAAATATATTAAAAATTGTTGACAATTATAATTTTCCCTCAAAGGAGAACGCGATTCTTATCGGCGAGAGATCGTTGATTTCTTTCCACTTTGTTCGCGACAGAAATAGGAAGATCGAGGGAGATCGAGCAGTGACGTTAACATTTTTTTGCAATCCCCATTTAATATTCCCGACCGACGTTATTTCGTTTAAATTCCAGCTTGTCGCACGTTTTCCTAATTGAATCTACATTTCTGATCGGCTCGGCAATCGACCGCAAACTAATGCCGTAATATACACACATATATACACATACGAGTATCGTGGGGTTGCATGTATTTCCATATGCATGCGTTCGGGATAGATGCGGGTACATTTTCGGTATCCCGGTGCATGCATTTCATTTTGACCGAAGCGCCCTTTTACATTGTGTTATTCTGACACACGAATACCGAACACCGAAAATGCTTTACGTTCTATTGTTCGCGAAGTTGCCAATTTATATCAGAGCGAACCCCCGTCGCCGTCGCCGGAAGATAATAGCCCTATAACGCCTTACGTTATTTATGGTTACAACAGGCACGCGGAACACAATGCTAATTAATTTCCGCACCGACGATATTCGACTGAATTTACCGCGTATGTAGTATAAATTCGCACATCGTCGCACTGTGATTCCGCGTACTTTTCTGAGGAGATTCGCGGTCGATAAATCACGCGCGATAAATAAAAGTATTTGTCGTCCGTCGATCAATAGTTTGTTTATTTCGACGACAAAGTTTAACTTGCATGTCCAGCAGTGAAATGACATTTTTTATCCTATATAAAACCGTGATATTTTGTTAATCCTTAATTTTCAATAACATTCTATAAAATTAATTCAGGAAAAATAATTCGATATAATTGTAGAGATATATCTCGATTCAAGCTCTTTGAGAATTTGTCGAAAAGATACCGTTATAAACGTACCACCGAGTATATCGATAATACGACGATGGTATTTGTGACGTAAAGTTACAATTACAGGCGGATACTTTTCAACGTAAAAATCGCCGATCACCCTGAACGATTATTAATCAAATGTCAGGACGCGATCCGGCTTTCACGGGAGTCGCGAGTTTATAAGAGCAGAGCGCTTATCTTTCATTTACCGTCTCTCGCAGGGTAACGAGAGTTAAACCGGCTTCTTCCTGCCGTGATCGACCATCATTTTGCGTGTTATATCTCGAGGGGGTCTTATAATTAATAATGGCGACTTAGTTTCTGCTGGAAAATTATTAGGTGTATGTATCTACGGCCTCTGCAATCAACGTGACGATCGGTTTGTTACCCTTCTCTTTGCATCGGAACGCGATTCCCTGTCAACGTCGCGTTTGTCGCGTTTCAAAGCGACCGATATATAATTTGAAAGAAATAATTGCATCTTTACATAAGGGAAAGCGATTATAGAGCGCGAGCTGTATAATACAAACTCTGACCGATGTATTTTAAAGCCGAGGATTCTAAGATGATCCGTCAGAAATGCGACATGAAGGCATGAACGAGGCGTTGCTAATGTCCACATGTTTATAATTATAATAAGCGGTTTTGCGACGCGCGAATTCGATACACGCGATCGATCTCCACAGTCGTTGTACCGTTCGCACTTTTACGATAAATGACGTCGCGGAACATCCTTTTGCGGCTTTGGTGGGTAATTTGAGAGAACTGTGTCAGTGCCCAGTCTTCCTCATTGAAAAGGGAAAAGTTGGTGCCGCGTTAAAAGCAGTTTCCGACATTAGACGTCGTCGTTTCTGGAAAAGTCCTCTCGGATATGATATACGCGAGATTGTGTATATCGTTCTCTTTTTGCGAGCGAGATTCACATCTCGCTTCTGACAAGTCTCGCGAAAGATCAGACACGCCGATAGAAACTCTTCATCGTACGCGTTTATAAAAGATCGCATACATTTTCAAGCGACGTCAATCGTATGCAATTTACGGGGCTCCTTACTCTGATTAATCGAGATAATTACACGGCATTGAAGATGAGAGGATTAGACGGAAGAGAGATACGAGAAATATAATCGATCGTGAGACTAAGTAACTAGGGATATTTCCCTGACACGCGTCTCTCCTTGTATAATGCGGAAGACTAGAGATATGGGAAATTTGTGGAGAAGACGCTATTAGAAAATCCATATATAGTGCCAGCCAATTTGAAGCGCAAACTTGAGTTCGACGCGAGGGAGACAAGTCGGGGAGAAGCCGTTCCGCTTCGCGAAATGCGTCATTACTTATTCGAGAACAGCGCGAAACCTGGTGACGACAGATTTATCGAGTGAAAAATTCACGGAGAAGGAAGGAGCGACGACGCCGCACTGTCTTTCGGTTTCAGATTGCCAAATGGGAAAACGTTGTTCCTGTTGCGGCGAAATTGCTCGACCGACGTCAGTCTGGCCGTGGCGAGAAGTTGCACGGCTGCAAATAAATCGACGTGACCGATATTCCGGACTTGGTCGTCTAAAGGAGTTCATCTCTCTTGGAAAAAAGATTGCTGTTTACGGAAACGCGAATAATTTAGATGGGAGTTCTTTTTCCCTTATTCGCGCAATATTTCTCACAAGCATTAATCGCGATGGAGCGCGATTCATGGATCGCAGCCTTTGACAAGATGAAACTCGACATCACACTTTTATGCCAATAGACTGCAAAAATTAAATATATTTTTTCTATACGAATTTTTGCGCGTATATAGAAGATAAGTTATATACACATGATAAATGCTTTTGCTCTTATTCATTAAAGTAAATGCTGGAAAAAGATATAAATAAAAATATAAAACATTGTGCTTAAAGCAAACATTTGCTTTTATATGAGATTACGGAGAATGTGGCGAAAGATAAAACTAGTTAATATAAAACGTGAACGTGTATGCACGTACATGATTATTTATATTTACGCTGACAGTGAGAACGTTTGTAAAGAAAGAATACAAAATGCAAAATAAATGTTTTAAGCGGTAAAAACAGACAAGACTACTCATACAAATCGTACGCGCGATGCGTTTTTGCTGGCGATATTGTTACTTTCAAACAAATAGCTTCCATCTCTTGCTAACAGCATCCGTCTCACAATTACTCATCTGGCTATCTAGAATATATCCGATAAGCGAGCTTTCCTGACAGCACGTTAAAATCCCGTCGTTTTTTTATTTTTTATTTAAATGTATCCGGCTCGTCTCTATGTCGGGACCGCGTCGATAGCTCTCTCTCTCTCTCTCTCTCTTTCTTTTTTTCCTCTCATTGCAACATCCGCAACGATTGTGTTCGAGAGGCATGACGGGTGGGTGGGATCGCTATGTGGATATCGTTAAGAGGCAGACAGACACGTCGAATCTCTCTGCGATTTTGATCGTGCATGGGGACCTTAATGGACGCGCGTGACCAACCGTCCTTTACTTGGCGCGGCGCGCTGTCAAAGTCGTTGACACCGGAGGAGCCGAGATCATTGATCGCGCGCGTCGTTTGCACATACGAGAGCTATACTCGAAACAAGCCCCGCGTACACGGTGTTTCAGCAAAAAAGGATCGATATCTCGTGAGGCCGATAGATCAAGGCGAATAAAAAGTAACGTACGCGAGAAGTACGTGACGGGGAGAATTGGAACTGTAAATTGTGATACATGACTCGTGACTCCTTTTCGTTCTCACGTCATGTGAATACCGATACATCAAACGTGGCGTATTAATTTAGGTAAAAAAAAGAAAGTGATATTTTTTCTCCCCTACGTTATACTATGAAATTTTAATGAACGTAGACTCGGTGAAAAAATGGATTATCCAACTCTGTTGATCTTGCAGTCTTGATTTATTGATCTATGCAAATCAAAAGTAATCCAATAATCTCGAGTGACACGAATAATTCCCGTTCCCATACGCACGTGAGAGGGAAACTGACTCACTCGCCACTAGTCAATTACATAAATTGAGGTTCGCAAGTTACATTAATTAAGCGTTTAATTCTTCGTTAATCCCACGGAAGGCTGCGTCACGTCTTATAACCCTCGGCAAAGACGACGTTTCGACAGCGCTAGATTTCAGGTAATTTAACAGCGTAAGGGGCCCGGGGGCGCGGGTCCGCGAGGTGAATATTACGCTTTGAATATTTTAACGTACCTTAAAAATGGAATTTGCGATCCATGCTTAATTCAATTAGCCTGATTTACATGAGATTATCAGACGCATCTGAATTTTCAAAAAAAAAAAAAAAAAAAATTGAATTATTTAATTCAATTGATTCAAATTTAAACTCTTGAATTGAAATTTGGTTAAAAGGTTATTCGATTAAAATTTTCGTTATACATATTAGAGAAAGAGAAGCGGCTGCTTTTGAAAGGACAATAAATTAATAAGAGAACTTAAATATACGGGAGAAAGTTAGGATCTTGAGATGCAGTACGCCGTGCCACAGCGTTCGCAGTATGTTTACGACAATTTACGATGCCCTTTATAATAGCGAGAGACAGGTAAACCGCAATGCTCAAGTTTTATTAGTGGTCGTTTTACATCACTGGTCGATGGACTTCGCGAAAGGTCCAGGACACAGGATGTTTTGTGCGCGGAGCGATCAAGAAATATTTTAGAAAGACTAATTTTATTTTTTTTTCGAAATATTCATAAATATTTTGTATTGAAAGTTTCACGAATTTTTTCGTCATAAAAATTTCTCGAAAAATAAATAAAAATTTAATCAAACGTAGATAAAAACAAAGCGTTTGTTATTCATTTATATTCGTGAAACCGAGATTCCCTTTGAAAAGCCCTTTCGCGTATTCAACGTAATGTATCTTTGTAATTAAAATGTGGAAATGAAAAATTTTGCGAATGAAAAATCGACTGAAAATTCGCGAACAATATTCCGAGTACTTCTCCTCTAGCTTCGAGGCATTTTATATGAACGAGACGCGA